CGCCCGTCGGCCGACCCCACCCCACCCCACCCACCACCCCACCACCGCCTCCCCCCGCCCACCAACTGGACTCCGATCGCACCCACACGCCGTGGCCCACCCCACCCCCACCACCCCTCCCCCCCACCAACGGACTCTGACGCACCCGCAGCCTTTGGCGCACCACCACCTCCGCCCTCTCCCCCCACCAACTGAACTCTGACGCACACGCAGCCAGTGGCCCACCGCCACCTCTTCCGCCACCGCCACCGGGAATGAGTGCGGCTGTAGCAGCAACGGCTGCGCCATCCGCACCGCCGAGTGTGGGAGAGCAGGACATGCAGGTGCAGATCCTGAGACTGCAACTGGAGATGGAACGCAAAGACCGCCTCATCGCCGAGAGGGAGCTGGACTGCGAGCGACGGCTCAATGCCATGTATCGTTCGACGGGTGGGGGTGCACGCACGCCTCCACCTATGGCTGCGAGTGGCGGACCTCCACCACCACCACCCCCGATGCCCGCTGGATATCAGCCGTTGGTGTCGTTTGAGTCTGGAGCACAGACGCCTACACGCTCGGGTAGTGTTATGAGTCTGCAGCACGAAAGCGTGGATGTCGATGGGCTGATGGAAAAGATGAAGGAGCTGGCCAAACTGGATCAGATTATGAGCATGTTGTCGAACTTGAACGCGGGGAACGCTGCCGGAGGCGGTGGTGGTGGCTCGAAGCGCACCATGGATGAAGTGCAGAAGGAAATGGGCGAGCTTATGGCCATAATCATGAGCGAAGATGCGGGCAGTGCGGAAGTTGAGGATGCGAATATCAGGTGTGTATATGTTTGTGCGAAGACTTGTCTTGCACTACATTGTATTCCTTTATATTCATATGCCATCGAAGTCTTTGTTTATCAGCTTAGAAATCTGGTCGTGGACTCGCACTGACGCATATTATTCCCTGTAATCTCGATTCGAATTTAGATACGAGAAACTGGTGCAGGAGCTGGAAAAACTGCCCGAATTCAAGGCAAAGGTACGTTCTAGAGCTATATTTATGTTGGTATTTAGCCTGACTAGGAGAATCTTGGCTGAGCCCAAAATCGAGAAAGCGACTTTCTATCCTATGAAGATTTTACTTTCAAAGACGCTCAATCTTTATTGTCCCTGGATCTGAATCTGCAGCTCAAAAAAGAGTACGACGATTGGCACACCGATAACAAAGCTGCCAATGAGGAAGCCGTTGCGGCACTCACAGGGAAATACACGACGGCGATGGCCGCCACGGATCCAGGTTTGCAGATATATTCATTTACGTTCATTCATGGTTGCATTTATCACGTCTACGTTGCATCTGACTCAAAATTTAAGCATCTCGAATCTGCATTGATAATTGATGACAACGAGTTAAGAATCTGACCATCTTTCACTACGACAAGAACATATATACTGGAATTGATGATCTTTATTGCCTCTCATCTCCTTTCAATACAGCCATCCGAAAACGACTTGCACGCAATCCCGAGCTGCTATTGATCGACGCAGATCCTCAACAGACGATGAACCGACACGTCAATGATTTCAAGACTTTCATTCTCCAGGGGTGCAGCTCGCAGGAATTGCGAGCTATCTATCACAAACTACCCAAATTCCGAAACGACCAGGATGTGCAGAGCGATGCAAGTATTATTTGCTTTATGTTGCGAAATCAGACAGAAATAGCCGATTAGTGTACCTTTTATATATTGCTTTGTTCAAATCGATGTTGATTGCTGAACTATTGTGTTAAGTTAGCGTCTAATTTACTTTCAACATTCCGCCCCTGCAGTTCAAAGAACGCCTCCGCTTGCTCATTGACGAGACGGTCAAAAAAGAGGAGGAATTGAGGAAAAATCCACCGTTGCCTAAGAAGGTACATTCAGCATCACTCTGTGCGCGTTTCCCACAGCCAAATCCATTATTCATCATGATATTTGCGTGTCTGTGCCAATGTCTGCTTGTTTACTTCGCGTTTGTGGCGAGAAACACCGATAGTGTGTGGAAGAAAGTGCGACACCAAGATTGTGTACTGGTGGATGCGATCTAGGCAATTCACAACGGCCGAGGCTCGAACAGCGAGCCCAATCACTCCCTGACTTTAAGTGTATTTACACCCATGCATAATACGCATGTATCATACGTATCTAACACTTGCGTTTTCTATATCTCGCGTGGCAGGCACGAGGCCCGCCCAGAGTGGCCGCAAGGAAAAAGACGCCAGCTGCAGGGGGTGGAGGCACTGATTTCTTGGCCGAACTCATGGCCAGACAGAACGCCATCGAATAGACTTGCGCGCCGCCTTTCACATCAGCACAATTGCTGTCACGACCACGGCTGTGAATACAATACTGGAATCCGACACCCTGTGTGATAGATACCTCCCTCATCCTTTTCCGAGTTCCCACATGCTTGGTTGTATGGACTGATGCTGTCCTAGTCGTCTGGTTGTCATCGTAAGGCTCTCACCTGGGCGGCATCACCGCTTTCATCTCAGCGGCGGTGAATTTCAAGATCGTCGCTATGACCGGCACCAGTTGCTAAGTAGTTTGCAAGAAGCAGGAATCGGAACAGTTCGATGATATAAGTAAAATTAGCTATTCGCAGTTTTAACAATGCTAAAATGTGTTAATTTCAGCAATTAAATCCGAGTTGGAATTTTCACGAGATGCAAAGCCACCGAAGCGAATTTTTTTACAAACCTTCTGCTGGACGCCCGACATATATTTGAATACGATGTGGTGCAGATAGTCTAATTGTCCTTCGTTCATGTTGCCCGCGGGTTCTGTATCAACCTAGAGCATACCATTATACAGAATGCATTTTTCTAAGATTAGAAACAGCCTGTGCCAGATACTGAGAAAAACGACATATGGCTTTGGCCGACGATTTAAAATCGCGAAACCGAAAATAGTACGATATTGTACCTTTTTTCGAAGTTCGTTCAGCTCGGCTTCGAGAGTGGTTTGGCGAGATAAGGCCGCAGACAATTGTTCACGAGCTTGGAGCTGATATCATAAAGGCGTACGGTGTAAAAATTCGTTAGTGTTTTCAAGCTCTGCTCAAGACGAATCCTACACGAGGCTCTACCCAAAGTGGACTCAACAAGTAGAATCCATATCACGATAAATTGCTATTCGAACAGGGGGTTCTTGATGAAAATAAATATGATAGCACAGTTTAAATACATCATAACGATCGACCCCGTACACCGGTGTGGCAATAATACTCAAACTCACCCGCAAGGCCTCTGCATACGATTCCATTTGCAACTCCATCTCCTCGTCTTTCTGCTCTAATTCGGCACTCAGACTAGCTTGCGAAGCTACAAGTTCTTCTGCCTCGATCATAAACTCCCTCAACTCTGCACGCAGCTCGTCGATGATTTTATCTTTCTCATGCACGCGTTGCTCTAGTCCAGTCACTCGAGTGGCTCTCTTTGCGCTCGTATCTATCTGCTCTTTCAGCTGGATGTCTGAAGCTTTTAAGCGGCCACTGATATCATCTCGGACCCGTACTATCTGTGCAGCATCTGTCTTAAGCGTTTGCAACTGCTCCCTGAGTTGGGCTATGATTGTTTTTGTGGTGGCATCGTCCTCTACGTCACTATCCTGACGCATCTGATCGTCATCGCGTGTGGCCAAAATCAATTTCATCGTTGAAAGCTGATTTACTATAACTTCACTTCCATTGGAATCCATACCATGCGAAGAATTGTCAAGTTTTATTTTGTCACACTCAGAAGCAACAGGAAATTTCCAGGACTCAGGACGAGATTGGGTATCTGCCAACTTCTTTCTTAAAAATTCAACCTCTAAACGAAGGCGCTCATTTTCGGATTCATGGCTGCCATCTGTACTATTCGATACAGCCATCACATTCAAACTAGAATTGGACCGAAAGCCTCCGTTTTTCGAACCGCTATATTGGCGCAACAGAAGCTTCTCACTCTGTAAGATTCGAAGAATAATAATTCGATGTCAATACCTGAGATCTTGTCAATGCGGAAAGGCCGAAGTATGAAATCTAACCCAATGAATACTTGCAATGTCTGAAAATGAAAAGCGAAGAATCATGGGATGAGAGCATGGTTCAAGAACAAACAGAAAGGTTCGAGAACTCTACTTTCTATATAGCTCTTTCTATCTGTATGCATCGACATGTTTAGAAAAAATCAATTTAAAAAATAATATATAAGGAAATGAGTCTATGATTCTATTCTTTTCGGAATCTCTAACACAGAAAAATATTTATCAAGTACAACAACAGATTTTTGAAAGACAGCATGGAATATATTGTTCAAACCTTATATATATATAGGTATATTATGTCATATATATATGAATATATATATATATAGATATGTGTGTATATATATATATACATATATAAATATAGATATAGATATATATATATATATACGTATATAATATACGTGCGTATATATACTACATACCTAAATATATGTATTGGTATACATATATATAAATATATATATAACAAATATAAATATATAATATAAATATATATAAAATATACATATACATATACATATACATATACATATATATATATATATATATATATATATATATATA